TTGGCATTTTAGTATGACATGGTATAACCTGAGTGATCCCTTAGTTTCCTCTCTCTCAACTCCCCATCCCACCCCCACCTCATGACAGAAGTAGAAAGGCAGTGATTTTGTCTACTAATAGAATGACAGCTTCTGACAGGGCCCTCTCAGCTTCAGCCCTCAGGTGGCATGAGGTGACTCCAACGAGGGCTGAGAAGAAAAGGATCCCTCTCTACCTTGTCCTATGGCAGCTGCAGCAGGAGGCCAACACCACAGAAAATGGCTCCTGAGTCACTGGCAGGCTTTACCTCTCTTGAGTTTCATTTATTGAGTAAATGACCTTGTCAGTGTGAAAGACCCAGAGATCTGTAAATATGGCATGGCAACCACATTTACAATCCATCAAAAGTTGATTGCAGATGCAGCAGCAACAGGAGTAGGCTGGTGCTTCTGTATCACAGGACAACCAGCAGAAAGAATGATCAAGGTCTGATTAGACAGAACTGTGTCTAGATAAAACATAAAACATGTTTAGCATTATTTCAAAATAGCTTTATTGTCCTAACGAGGCTTAAATGTTCACCTCCCAACCGAGTGAACCAGTAATTAAATGTTAATTTACTGAAATCTGTTCTAATCATTCTGGTTAGGTACACTACAATTCTATTATATTTACTATTCCTTTTTGTGACTAAGAATAAATGATCTGTCCCACAACTAATTCACAGTTCACACTGAATACCTTTGTGACTTTCTTCTCTTAGTTTGGAACCTCTGACTCATGTGACATATTTTTTACTATAATTAGTATCTTCCCTGGGCCACCAGAGTGGGAGAGATATAATGATCCAATGAATAAAAGAGAGTGTCCATCACCAACTAGGACAGGTGGCATGGAACTGCGCTTGGTTCAAATGACATGAAAGGGTATAGAACAAAAACAGATGGGTGAGTAGATGCTGTGGGCTTAGCCAAAACCTCCTCCCTCTGTGTTTTGTACACACACACACACACACACACACACACACACACACACACTCACACAGACACACACACATACTAACTCATTTTTGAAATTAAGCAACTTAAAATATGATACTCTCTTTTGTATCTAGTAGCTTTTGTTCAGCAGCTGATAAGGGGCATGTGGGGGTGAGGTAGAATGAAGGAAATGTGAGATGAAGGATACAGCACCTTTAATTTAATTTAATCATTAAAGCTCTAAGCTTCTCTGATATCAATGTCACTAAATACATCCCTTCTATGTTTAAATGTTGTTATAAATAATGCTAAAGTTGCTTTCTTGGTGATTTGCAAGTGAAACATGACTAGACAAATGGTGACATAAAATTACTAACCTCTGCACTTGAAATACTCAGAAATAAACTGTGCCTAGGTATTTTTTTTAAATATTTTAATAATTCATCTCTATTTTCAGAGGTATTTAAAAATGTTATACCCCTTTAAGATTTACAAAGCACTGTTCTCACAACTATTCTCTAAGGCAATGGGTGGAGTGGGAAAACCACTACATTTTGCAAATGGGTTCAAACTGCAGCTGGGTGAGCCCAGGCAAGGCACCTCTCTGGACACTGGCTTCCACATGCACAAAATGAGGGGATTGCACTAGATAGGTCTGTCAGGTCCCTTCTTGTTCCAAATTCTAAGATACGACTGCCTGCAAAATTATACCCATTTACAGAAATCTGTTGCCACCGGCACACATAATGCAGTCATCGATTTAACAAGACCAGAAGTCTAAATTTCTAAGCATATGGTCATCATTACATTCTAAAGTAAATAGTAAGGTCCTTCAGCTGGGAATGTTTAGGAGGAGAAAAAGTCATTATGACATTAGTGTCTGGGAAAGAAATATATTAGATCACATAACTTTTAAAAGGTAGCAACCCTTAGTAAAGTTCTTTTAGTACCACCTAAAATGAGCATATATATTGGTCACATATGTCAAAGGAAGACAGATAATATAAATAAGATTATACAAACAGGGTATGCATCATTCATATTTAAACTGGGGAAATTAAATAGAGAAAAGGGTAGAAAAAGGGAAAGATAGAGAGGGATAGAGAGAAAGGGAAAAAAGGCATAGACCAATATTGAGAAGACAATGGAGTGAAAGGTATCCTAGGGTAACTACAGCAGAAAAAATATAACTAAAGACAAACTTCCTATTACATAGTTCCTGGATTTCCCATCCCTGCAAAATATATATAATTGCTATAAAACTACTGCAAAAAGGTTTTACAGAGCATGTTGTTATTTATAATTCTTTCTATTAAACTTATGGTCTTCTAATCTTTGAATAAAACAAGACAAACGATTATTAATGATGGTTACCAATATTGTAACCATATTGGACTGTAAATTCAGATCATTCCTCAATAGTTCATTTAAAATTTTCTTTTTGTCTGCATTTAAATTATTTTTTGCCAAATTTGACTTCAATTACCATAAAGCAACTGTTGGTTTGTTTTCTGGTTTGTTTTTGAAGGCTTTTGGGTAGAGGGCACTAGAGGAGTGTTTTTGTTTTTTTGCAACAAACATTACTTTAACATTGGGCATTATGGTTAGACATTGAGTACCCTTCCTGGAAGGGAGCCAGCCAATACCTTTAGGGAAGACCCTAGACATAAGCTAAGCTAAAAAGCTCTGCCTTGGAGATTTTACCCAGGGTTCTATTGTGGGATGAGGGTGTAACTGCATAATAATGGCAACGCCAAAGTTCATTGTGGGAGAGGGGTCCCTTTGGCTGAAAGGCACATCTTGGAGGCTAGTCCAGGATGCTAGAGAATGACTAGAATAAACTCCAAGTGCTTAATTCCTTTTGGGGATGCCCACGCATCTTCAGGACTCATCAGACTTTGTTTTATTTCTTTCTGGGTTAGCCTGCTTGCTATACTGACAAGTGAGCCTCCATTCGAAACATCCCACAATTTTTCAGGATCCACTGTTCAGGGACCTACTGGAGAGATTATTTTTACCTGCAACTCCACTTGGACTGCCTTGTACTGTTAGGAATCCATTGGAGAAATGTTTTATCTACATGCTCAAAGCAATCATGGGAGAAATTTTCATGCAGGACAGTTTGGTTTCTGACCCAAAGATGAGGAGGTGACTTCCAGTAAGTCCCAAGTACCCAATCCCTATTGAGAAGCATGCATTCATCTCTCTCTATAGGAGTTAGATTCTGCCCCTGGCTAAAGGTCATGCTCAACATAGCAATCCCTGGTTGGTCCCTTAGTCTCCATGATTGTGATCAGTGACTGATCCAAGAAGACCACTCACTCTGTGGGACATAAAAAGAGCTAAAGAAAGGCTCTACCTTTCAATATAAGCACAAGACTTTGAGATTCTGCCAGCTCTGACTTGGATTTCCAGTATGAGAGGGAAGGGATTTCTGTCGACCCCTCCCCTCAGCAATGGTGGGCCACAGCTCAAGCACCAGACAGTGGGATCATGTGCCTGCCTCGTTAGCCTTGAGTCCCATGCTACCTTCCTCTTCCTTTGCGTTTCCTCCTTGAGCACAGGTCTGCAAGCAATGATCCTGCAGAACGAGTACTCTGAATCTTAGCAGCTACCTCATGAGCTCATGCGTTCCCATCTACCTGAATCAGGGCAATGCTGAGTGCCCATTGGAAGGTGATTCCTGCTTCAAAGAGAAGGAGCTGACCCCCAAGAGGAACCTGAAATGGCTAAAGAGATACACTAGGATGGTCAGAAATGTGAACCTTATGAATTGCTCAGGTATCACAAGTTTGAAGTGAAAGACAAATGTCTGGTTTAGCACAAAACACCTTTTAAGAAAGTATAATGCTAAGTAATTGTTTTGCTTCTATATTTATTAATATGTATATATTATATTTATTAATGTGTGTTTATGAGTCTGTTGTGTGAGGAGGAAATAAATAACAACCCCATGCCTGATGCCTGTCTGTATATTGAATGTCCTTCCTACAAGCGCCCTTCGTCTGATAACTCTGTTATCCTCTGTTCCTCCCATTTTCAGGGAGACCTTAGACACAAACTGTACCTAAACTTTGTTTCAGAGACTTTCCCCTAGAGTTTTAATCTGGAGTCAGGACAAAACTAGCTGGATGGAATAAGGGAACCTGATTGCCATCTCTTTGGGATCAGGTCATCCCAGGTTAAACCCCAGATACGGGTTTACAGCAGAAGTCACTTTAACAGGAAGAGCCTTCCCTGAGTCATGTTTTACAACAGTGACCTTATTTTATTTTTTACTGTTAAGTATAACTTATGTGCAGTGATAATTAAAACTCTCAGATGAATAGAGTATAAATCCAGTCTCAACAAAACATAGAAACACAACCACTATTTCATAAACCTTGAGTTATGTTTGAAGTTTATACCACATTGTACCACTGTCTCCCATCTCACAAAGCATAGTATGTACTAACATTATTGTTTCTATCTTTCCTGTTCTTAAAACAAATGGAATGGAAGAAAACCAAAATCATTACTATTCTTTTTTCATGCTTCATCCACTATAAATTACTCAATATTAGGTAGCTAGCTAAAAATGAATATTTATCTAGTTAAAAATGTTAACATCTTTTTTGTTAAGTTTCATATAAAAAAAGATATAAAAATACTGAGAACCACTGGAATTAGAGATACATATAAAAAGAAAATCAAAGAAATTCAATCTTAGGGGGTAATTTGAATTGAATTTTAAGTCTTTCCATTCTTATACTAGTTCAATCCTCCCTTTGTCCCAGGCATATCTGATTCCTTATCATGGAAAGAAGAGGAAATTCCCTTCTATCATGTACAATTCTCTCAGAGAGCATGTAATGAATTTATATTGGGCTTCAGGAGAATGGACAGTTCTTTACAAACTTAAAGAAATATGCAAATATCAAAGAAACCAGCAGATTCAAAGAAGGGTCTGTAGGTCCAAAATAATGCCCAGAAGTATGTATACCACCTTTTCTCAACCTCTTAGGTTACAAACAGATTTAATTTTCATAGAGTTATCTCACCGTAACTAACAATTTACTTCTTCTTTCTACTTTTGACAGGAAGGAAGCTGATTCCTTATTCATCTTCCATGAATCTTGAGGACTTTCTCTAATCTGTCAATGCCAAAGAATGCATTAAAATTAGTTCAAATGAATTGTTAAAAAATCGGTTTTAATTGGGAATACAAATGTTATATACTGTCACATGTTATCAATATTGTATTATTAATTAGAAAAATCTAAAAAATAAACACAAAGAAAATACAGAGATATTTCCTGGAGGAAAATGGCTCTGCCATAAGAGACCTTAAGAGACCTTAAACAACTTCATAAAACCACAACAGGTCTCAGTTTACTGAACTGTAAATGAGGGAGGAGAAGACATGATCTACAAGTTTCCTTAGAGTCTACATAACTAGAAACTTTAAAAATTATGGATATAATGGAAAGTCAAAATAAGTTTACCTTGACAAGCAGAATTATTTTGCATACATTGTTTAAAAGAATTAGAGATGTATTGTACTTTGGTATTAATTCAAAAGTTAGAATTTATATACATTAGGTATTTGTCTCAGGTACAAATAATCTTAACATAATTAGTTAATCCAATCAAGTCTTTATTTATAAAAACTAGCATAAGAAATAAACATGTGGTCATAATAATAATTTAGCTAGATTAAATGATCATCTGGGGTGACCTGATATGAACTTATCTATCTTAATTCCTTTTAAACAACAGGGTTTTAAACGACAGGGGCAATTTAATGTGTTAAGTAGTCTGTTGCTGCCTTATTGCACAGGACGCCTGAGACTTGAAGGTCACCAAAGGGTAACCTGGACCTAGCTGAGGAGTACAGACAACTGCTGGGTTAACAACTCCCAGATATAGGAGCCCCATAAAATGGGGCTCATAAGACACTACTGAACCTATGTCTACTGAGAGATAAAACTAACTCAAGTAGCATCAAACAGGTAGTAAGCAAGATCAAAGTCTCATTGCTGGTCCATTCATAGGGCTCCCAAGAGTTAGGTATTTGGAAAAGGGAGTGCCAGGAATGCCAAGGTCAAGAACCACATAGCAGACAGTTCAATGAATGAGCAACGGGTGAAACATACACAATCACTGAGCAGGAAAGGAAAAACAAGCAGTTAACTCTGAGATGAGTTAGGTTTTCCAGGCCCTACTACCCTTAGTCCCACCACTCCCTTTGTTGATATGGTCAGACACCTATGCAAGGCCTAATTTCATCCTCTGTCTTAAAAGATGTCTAAAGTATCAAAACATCACAGAATTTCAGAGCTAGGGGAAAAAAAACTTACTGACCAACTAGTTCAGACTATAACTCCCACCCCAGTCCCCGGAAAGGAACTCCACCATGACTCACCAAACAAGTGGTTATACGGCCTTTGTTTGGAGAACTCCAGTATAAGGAAAGCCACTACTGCCTAGGTCAGCTCATTCCACTTTTGTATGCTTTTTACGAGGAAAATTTTCTTTACATTAACCTTAAATTTGACCTCCAACCATGTCACCTAGGTCAAAATAGGACAAGTCAAGTCCATCTCTAAGATAAGAAGCAGTTCAGTGGGGCAGTACAAAAAGCGTTCAACTGAAAACTGAAAACCCCAGAGTCCGAATCCTGCCTCAGACACTTAAAGCTCTGTGAACCCCAGCAAGTCACTTAACCCCTCTCAGATGAGTTTCCTCATCTGTAAAAGGTTTGTTGTAAGAGTCAAATGGGATAATCCTTGTAAAGCACTTTGCAAACCTCAAACTGATTTATAAAGCTAGTTATTATTTAACATGACAGCTTTTTTAAATATTTGAAGACTTTTCTATCCCCTCAAGACTTCTATAGATTAACTATCTCTAGTTCCTCAAGCAATATCAATATGTCTTGAACTCAAGATCCTTCAACCTCCTCCTCTGAATATTCTCTGGCATATCAATGTCCTTCCTAAAAAAACAACATCTAGAACTGAACATAATACCCCACATGTAGTCTGACTAGGGTAGCACACAGCAGGACTATCAGCTGTTTATTCCTAGACATGGAATCTCCAGTAGTGTAGTCCAAGATCATGTTGGCTCTCTTGGCAGTCATACTATGTTATTGACTCATACTGAAATTGCAATCTACTACAACCCCCAGTATTTTTTTTCCATACAAACTGTAGCCTAATAATGTTTTCCCAAATCTAAGATTTTACATATATTCTTCTTAAACGTCATCTTTTTTAATTCAGTTCAGTGTCGTATCCCATCAAAAAGACTTTGTATCCTGTTTCTTTTATCCAGTTTGTTAGCTATTTCAATCAATCAATCAACTAGCATTTACTAAGCATTTACTATATGTTAAACACCATGCTCTGTGCAGAGATACTGATGAAAAACAAAAGTAGGGCCTTCCCTCAAGGACCTTTATATTCCAATAAGGGAGATGACATTTGTAATTCAGAACATAAAGGATTACCACAGAACAGAAGGAAGATAACCTAAGAAGGTAGCCACTAGCCACAGCCTTCTGGAGGCGCTTGACTTAAATGTTAAAGGAAGTCAGGAATTGTAAGATGGATGGATGAACGGATTGATAAATAAAGCAGTCATCAAGTGCTTACTATACACCAAGAACCGCATTAAGTGATGGGGATACAAAGATAAGCACACAAGAATAGTCTCTGCCCTCAAGGGGCTTACATTCTAACAGGAGAAGACAACTCACAGAGTGGAGATGGAAAAGGGCTTGGGGTGCTATGGGATAGTTTGGTACTAACGTTCATGGAACATTAATGGGGGCCTGGTTCTGGGTGATGTATAATGGCAAGGTCACCTATCAGAGCCTAGGGTAGTTCTGGGGGAAGAGTCCAAGATTAAGATGGGAAGGTGATGAGGATAACCAGGTCAGAGTAGCATTGGCATGGTTTGCAGCTAATGGGAGAAAAGCATCCCAGGGATAGGAAACAGTCAGTGAAAAGTCATGAAATCAGGAGATAGAGAATCAGTTTTCAGCAACATCGAGTGGTCCGATGCAACTGGATCAAAGAGTGCATGGAAGGGTGTAAAAAAGGGTCGTTACGAGGTATTTTGCATGCCAAAGGACTTTATATTTGGTCCTGGAGATAATGGGGAACCATTGGAGTTTAATGAATGTGGGAGTGATGTGGTCAGATCCAGACTTTAGGGAAATTGTTTTGGCAGCTGAGTGGAATATAAATTAGAGTGAGGAGAGGCTTGACATTAGGAAATTAAACAGAAGACTACTGCAACATACAGTTATGAGGTGAGAAGGGCCTGAAATATGGCGGTGGTTAAGTGAGAGGAGAGAAGGGGACATACATGAAAGATGTTACAGAAAAATAAATTACAAGATTAGGTAACTGATTGGATACATGGGGTGAGAACACAGGAAAATCAACTATGACACCAAGGTTTAATCCTGAGTCAATGGAAGGACAGTGATCCACTCAAAAGTAACAGGAAAATTCAAGAGAGAAAAGTGTGGGAGGAGGGATAATGAGCTTTGTTATGGAGGTGTCACGTGACTATGAGACACCCAGCTTGAGATGGGATTAGAACCTAGGGACTGTGACTCCAAATTCAACACTTTCCACTGCTCCACATTATAGTCTTTTGACTCCTTTTTCCAGACTATGAGATTTTATTTGTCTGGGATAGGTTTTCAGGAGGTACAAAGGGATGGAAAAGCTAGATCTAAAATAGGCTGAGAAAGCAAGGTCTCTATCACTATTCTGATAAGCATTGGTTTACGTAGTGAATTATCTCTCTGGAATCAGGATATGAAAGAATGGATACAGACACCAACCAACGTTTTAATTCTTCAAATGTCCCCTCAGCTATGGATAACCACAAGTAATTTTTCTTAAGCCCTCAGAAAAATGGGAGACAAATGGCACAAACCAGAAGAAATTCTTTAGAATTAGCCCTAAACATGGAGTGGAAGAGCACTTAGACTTTACAGAAGTAGATCCATACCCTCCATATGGAGACGGCATATCCCTGGAATTCAATTTGTCTTTGTTGAATTCCCATTTTTCAATTTTGGCAAATAGATGATGTTTCCAAAGTTGGAACAGGATTGTTCAAATTATTCTGATAATGAAGCTGATTCCCATTAATAAATGAAAATTTCACAAAAGTAGATGATTATCATTTTGCTTAATAATATGATTGTTATAGTATTGAAAAAAGGGTTCATAGACACTGGAAACATCATAGAGTCACTGCATAAACTAAACATTATCTCTGTGTTTTTGATGTAGCCATATCTATTCTCATCCTTTGCTTTAATTGAAAACAAGTAGTACACTGTCCCCAGACATCTAACTTAATGTTGACATACATGTGAAGGGATGGGGATAGCGGCCAGAAAATATCATTGCCTCAGTCTTGCCCTTCTATATCTGCCAGCGATTGGAAACCCAACACACCCTGGTAGTTGGAATCTATATTCTTGATTTAACTCATCTTGCATGATTTATCATATAATCTAGTCATAACTATTAACTGAATACTAAAAATGCATTATGCATGATTCAAATTTTTGTATAGCATGACTTCTGAGTAGATACGTTTCCTATACCTTTTCAAAAATTATCTCACCATTAGTATTCTCATTACTCACATTTCAGAATTCTTTATCTTCATCTTAAGTCTTGTGGATAATATATAATAAAAATGTAGTTACATCCCCCACCTCCATTCTGCTTTTAACAACCTACAGTAATTCACCTTTCAAATGGCTTACATTTAAAATTGCCTCTATTCAGACTATAAGCACCAAGAATGCTTTCATTGGTATTTTTATCCTAATATTCTTTATAACTGGTGATTCAAAAACAGAAAAAGTAATCTCTTCTGAAGCTTTTTTTATGTGAAAAACTACAAATCTAGACACTCTTAGCCAGAATAATTTGTATGGTGTTCAGTTAGAAGTTAGGGGTTAGCATGTATCTCTTGAAGTATCAAAATAATTTATCTTTGCAATATTGCTATTGACACTATTATTTTCATGCAGGTAATGTGGTCTGGGGGATTCGTGAAGAATCTTTAACTTTTAATGTGTTGATAGGACATCTTTCACTTTTATTTTGCA